GCACCGTCCATTTCCACCGCCAATTCCTTGCCCACTGGTCCATACTTCCCCACTACAATGTGGCTTCAAGACCTCCTTGGGAAATATTTCAATGTGGTCACCGAAGTCTTCCTCCAAGGGCCAAGAACGAAAAGATGCTCTTTGGTGGTTTACTTTCATTTAGCTCTAGAGCACTGGATGTATCAAGTGTCCCCTTGATATGGTTTCCCCACCCAAATCTCATCTTAAATTGTAGCTCCCATAACCTCCATGTGTTGTGGAAGGGGAACCTGATGGAAGGCGACAGAATCATGGGGGTCGGTCTTTCCTGTGCTGTTCTTGTGACAGTGCCTACATCTCACAAGATCTGATGGTTTTATAAAGGGTGGTTCCCCTGCACAAGCTCTCTTGCTTGCCGCCATGTAAGACGTGCCTTTGCTCCTGCTTCACCTTCTGCCATGATCGTGAGGCCTCTCCAGCCACGTAGAGCTGTGAGTCCATTAAACCTCTTTTTCTTTATAAATTTCCCAGTCTCAGGTATGTCCTACAGCAGCATGAGAATTGACTAATACACCCCTAGTCCTTGAGACTGTCCTTTCCTTGGCCTCCTTTCCTCTCCCCTCCCTCCTGGCCTAGCCCTTCTCCATGCCATTCCCGAGCCCATCTACCTTGCCTGCCCCTACGCGGCATTTCTAGACAATGTCATTCTTGTTCCTCCTTTTTCACGCTCTCCTGGAACCACCCTATGTCAGAACATGAGTTTATCTCCCATCCAGTTGCTGATGATGCTCCATGTCTCTTCCTCAGCCCTGGCCCCCACCCCCATTATTGTGTGTGTGCCTGCTGAGGTCTCCCAGACACCCTCACCCCAGTGAGCCCAATGGCACATCCTACATGTATCCCCACCCCTCTCCTACATGCTCTTCCATGTGTGTTTTCCAAAGGGCCTCATCATCTTCCATGGTGGAGACACTGCTGTGGTGGTGGTGAGGGAATCCTGCACCTGCACCACTGGACCCCCAAAGCGGCTTCGTTAACAAACAAAAGAGTCAGACCCTGAGAATCAGGACAGGAGGCTTGGGACCCACTCTAAGGACAGCAGGACTTGTTCTTGGCTTAGATCTGCCATCCGAGGACCCTGTGTCTTTGGCCACTTAGCTTCTTAAAAGGCCCTCGAGTGTTCACACCATCTTCCCTAGTGTTGTGTGTGTTTTTCAAAATTTAACTTGGGCTATTTGGACCTAAGTTTTTGTAATGTTTAGCCATTTAATGTTTCTGTAAAACCTTTATTAACTTTCATACTGTAAATAATGCTATGATTTGTGTTTAAAAAAAATTATATGACTATTTTGAAATAGTGAAGATCCCGGTGTTTGTCAATGCATTGTTGCAAAGTAATCATTCATAATCATTGACTGCCAAAGATTTGGCTAGGCAAGTCATATAATTATCTCAAATCCTCACAAGATGTCTACTTTTTAATCCCAGGTCAATGCATTCACTGGAGCTAAGAAAAGCCCAACACTTTTCTTAAAATCAGACGAACACATAGCCAGGATTCTAACCTTTAGGTCGTTTTTAAAATCCTATGCCTTTCCCACTATACCTGCTGTCTTTCATAGAGCCTCAACAACAAAACAAATGAACAAATTTTACCCTAATTAATATCAACTCTCCTAACTGTACTATTCACAGTCACAAATGCAGCATGCTTCTCCAAATGCCCTATGGCCCAGGAGAGTAAGTAAGGTTTTAGCAAACAAATTCCAGAGCATAATGCTTTTCTAACCCATCAGTCTGCAGATAGGAAGCATTCAGACTTTAGGTTTGGGCAATTCTTATTTCTTTTTTCACACTTTTTGGATAAACATTAAGTTTCATTTCACATTTACTGCTTTTTCAGCAAAGAGTATTGATGTACGGTGATTTAATGATCATTTATGAAATAGCTCATGTTTTATGCCTACTACATTTCCAAAAGATAACTCTAACCAAAATCCTTATTGAGCATGGCTGAATGAAGCTGTCTTTTTGATAAGCAAGAGATTTTTTTCACTAGGAGAAGGCAAGAAAGACGTGCAGGGGCTTTGAAGATTCACATCAGCAATGGTAGGAAGAGAAGATGCTGCAGGCAGCATCAGAGGCAGGAGTGATTGGCCATCAGGGCCACATAAAGGTATTCTACTTCCCTCTGGAAAACGTTGGTCAGTGTGATTTTTAACCAGGATATTCAATCACAATCGCCTACCTAGTCCACAGATGCTCCACGCCACCCCTCCCACTCCATGCAGCTTACATGTCCCGGGAATTGAGGGCAAAATGTTCTGTCCAGGCATCACTGTGCGTTTCATGTCGACAGGTAACTACTAATTTTCCACCAAGGGTTCTTTAGAACTGACATTAAAAACAACTTAAATTCTAATTAGAAGCACAATGAAAGAACCTGACTGGGCCCACTTTTGTAGAATTCTTCCTCTTCATTAAGATGAGATTTAAAGCTAAGCAATAGGACCTGTCAACCTCATAAAATAACCTACTTTGGAAGGTTCTTTATTACAATCCCAAAATAGTTTCTGGCAACTTAAGAGAAAGAGGAAGCAAACTAGTGTTTACCAAGTCCCTGCACAAAGACCAGGCGTGCGTTTTAATATTCACAACCCCCAAGATAGACCAGGTTACAATGATCACGTCACAGGTGAGGAATACGGGGTGACATCCACCCAGTGTCACAAACCTGGTACAGAGGGGCATGAGCCCTGCTGTGTTCCAGAATCCACGCTTCCCAAAACATGCACACTATTTCCCCAAGATGTGGGAAGTAATAAATGGTTTTGATATAGGAAGCTGCCAGGACTTGCTTCTGGGTCACAGCCTTGCTGACCCAAGCAGGGTCTGGTCCAGACAAGATAAAGTGAAGAAAGCCATGGGAACCAGCAGATGCTGCTGAAAGCAATCCCTGGATGCCCTCAGTGCTCACTGGCACAAGATGCTCCCACCAGCACCATGACAGTTTACCAATGCCATGGCAACAGCCCAGAAGTTACCAGTGCTTTCCATGGCATTACTAGAAGGGGCTACCCTTTCCTAGGGAGTTCTAAGTAACTCACCCGTCAATTTGCATGGATCCACACCTTAATTTGCATGCCATTGAAAGCAGGTCTAAGTGAGTGTGGATATAGGTGCCAGGAGCCCATGAGCCGTGGACTCTGGTGCACGTCCTGTGAGTTTGCCCTGCTCTGCAGAAAGCAGCTCTGGCTCAAAGATCACTAACACCATGAGCTCACCCTTGGATTCTTCCCTGGGCAAAGGCAAGAACCCTTCTGGGCTAAGCCCCAGTTTCAAGCCTCACCTGCTCACCTGCTCACCTGCATGACTCTTATCACACACAGGCCAGAAAAGAGTCTCTTCTCCAAGAGACCCAGACGTTGTGCTGGTGGCTCAGGGGAGATGGAAACCGAGGTGTGCAGTGCTCTGAGCACGAGGAGACCTCTGTTCTTACATACTGCTCTAATTATTTGATCAAATAATACGCTTCATATGTTTTGTCAACTTCAAGACACTTTTTAAAGTCAGAATCTGTGCAGTTAAAGTAAGCAGTCCAAATGTTAATCTGAAAACAATTACAACAATACACCAAAGAGTGTCAATATATTCTAGAAACACAGCACAAGTCATGACCCTTTGTTTTACCTTGACAAACCCATCATTTTCAGTGTAGAGGTCCTTTATTGGAGAAGAAGTCTAGAGGTCAGAGAAAAATACATTGAGCATATAATCTGGAAATGCCATGAACATAGTACTTCCAGTTATGTTCACCGAATATCTCCCCATGAGTTTTACTCCCTGTGGTTAGTTCTTACACCGAGGCACTGGCCATGTGGGGCAGATGAAATGTAACCAATCAGGCCTAACACAGAAATAGCATATAGCCCTGGCTTCGTTCTCACAGTTTACCTACATCGACTCTAATAACAGCGCCTTTGATACTGCCACTAGAATAATATCACTACTCACATTTTATAATACACTACTAAATTCTCACAAAAACAGATGTCCCAGCCTAGGCAACATAGAGAGATCCCATTTCTACTGAAAAAATAGAAAAAGTAGCTGGGCATGGTGGCACATGCCTGTGGTCCCAGCTACTCAGGAGGCTGAGGCAGGAAGATCATTTGAGTCTGGGAGGCAGAGACCTCAGTGAGCTGAAATTGCGCTACTCCACTCCAGCCTGGGTGACAGAGGGAGACCTTGTCTCAAAAGACAAACAAAAACAAAGGAAAACAAAATCCAAAACCCAGAAGCCTGGGTGGGCTGGCAGGCGGTGAAGGCTGGATGTCTCCTGAGGGCATGGAGGGAAGGCAGTGCACATGCAGGAGCTCCGAGCGGAAACAAGAGTTTGTGGAACAGCCACTCCATGCGAAGCATGAGCCTTCTCACACTTGATTCTCATGCTTCACAGATGAAGACACAAAGCAGCATTCAGAAAAGGAAGGCAAATTACTCACCCTCTTCACTAGCCCAAGGGAGCCCAAAGTCACGTGGCTCCAAGGCCTCACGGAGTCAGCACCATACCCTTCCCAAGAAATAAAGCCCAAGGTTTCCACATTTTCATTTGTGTGGAATGACATCGTTTGGACCACACACCACGTTGACAAAAGTGGATTCAAATTATTTACTGTAAGAATGCCCCCAAGAGTGTTTACATTATCAACAATGGTTTGTATTACAGATTCAAGAAAATGCCATCTCTAGGGTGAGAGCTAATATTGTTACCGAGTCACATGTGAGCATTCATTCTTCTCTGGAATTCTCAAAACATGAAACTCATAATCCAATTGCTCAACCTGCAGTTTGCAACTGTCGTGCCGATTTTTAAATAATACCAGGAATCCCCAGCCTGACTTGCATTACAGGTGCAGGTATCATGCTCAAGGCTAAATACATCATGGAAAGGACGAGGTACAGTGGGTTTTAATGCAGTGCTGAGACAGAGTAGGCAGCCAGCGCTTCATTTTTTCAGGGCCAGGGTAGAGTACAAATGGAGGCTTATCTGCCAAATACTTAGATATTTAAAAACTAGTGCATAAAATAAATCCACTGTCCCACCTTGGCAAATACATTTTGGCAATGACTTACTCTTTCCAGTGCTGGTTAATATGCCAAGCACACGCTTCCGGAAGCCCTCCCACCCTGGCGTCACCTGGAGGCAGCAGTGCCTGGCTGGAGCCGTCACTGAGTCGGGGGCGAGTGCCCACCAGCAAGCTGCGTCCTGTGGTGAGTGCAAGGGCGGTCCTATGCCCAGAGCCAAGGTGACAGCCTTGCTGGACTTCAGTATTCCTGGGATGGGCTCAGGACGTGCACTTGTCCCATGCTCCCAGGGAACCAGCTCCCTGTTGCCCAAACCTAAGACCTTTCAATAGGAGTAAAACAGCATATTTTTATTTCAGTAAAATTGTCTTTATTTAGCCAATTAGGAAAAATCTTCCCAGAATCAAGTGTTTTCATTTTAAAGAAATGAATTGAAACTAAATTTATCATTTGAATATTGAAAATTGAAAGCAAGTTTTCCTAGAGCATGAAAGCAGTATTTTGGGAGGAAAACATGTATGTCATAAACAGTTTAATACAAAATGTTGGGAACAAAATAAGAACATTTCGAACTAATATTGATTTTGCACATCCTCTTCCCCTAACCATTGTTTATTACGCATTTGTGGTTAACACAAAAATTAGTATTTAATTAGTATTGAAATTAGTATTGAAGTTCATGTTTAACACAAAAATTAATGCTAGTAACACCAATTCGTAAAAATCAGTATTTGTGTTTTGTGTTTACAGTTAACACAAACACTAATACTGAAGTCTAATATGGACTTAGGTTTTAGTGCTGTAGCTCTAATGCACTAAAACAATTTGCTCAGCAAGTGTAAAAAGTGCTGTTCTCTGTTGAGGGAAGGAGGTAGCCCGGGAAGAAACATGTATGTAGGTCCTTTGCATGGGCCAGGTGTGAGCTCCCGTGGTGAGCACGGCATTACTGCTATCTCAGGATTCCAACGAATGCTGGAGACAAAGAACTCAAAACGAGAACAAAACCTGAAGCTTTGGGAAGCTTGAGAAACTGGTTCCACACCCCTCATTCCAACAAAACTCACTCATGCTGGATGGCTGTGCAAAAGGGTCGAATGAAGAGTCTGGAATCAAGCCAGGCAGATGGGATGGTGAGATACAGGACAATGAAAAGTACTTCTGCAGACACCGGAATTTGCTGTTTCCCCCTAATCTCTGATTATCATAACTTGGAATGTTATGAAGCATTACAATTGATCGGGGTAAGTGCACTTTGTGTGGGGTGATAGCAAAGCACGATCCTATCTGCTCGCCACACCTCATGGAAGAAGCAGGGCATGGAAAAAGCCATTTTATTTTTGTGCAATTACAAGGAGCAGCACATAAAGCATTGTGTATATACGCAGAAATATTACACCCTTATGTGGATTCAGCCTGGCCTATAAATGAAGCACATATCAGGTTTCTACGGTTTCAAAACCATTAGCACTGATGGCTTTTAAGGAGAACCGTGTGCTGTGACTCATGCTTTGCTCGTTTGTGCCATTTGGAAATTAAGTATTCTTAACTGAAGTAATGCACCGCAAGTTTCAATGGTTTTCAGCAGAGGGGACACATAATTCCACTGTAATTCGAGAATGATATTCTAATTGATTAATTGGCTTTTCTTGTAAGGTTGCAAAGGAGTTTTCAGTGTAAAAAGGTTATCCACATCTCCACAAGAATAAAAATGCTAGGGTTGCACTATCAATTAACAAGGCCATGGCTGGAGGAAGTGTGGGATCTACCTTACTCTAAACACGGGGATTCTGTTTTAAATTATATACACTTATGAGGAAATGCGAAATAAAGCAAAAATAGAAGCAAAAACAAACAACAAAACACCAATGCTCAGGCCCAGCCATGCTTGAAAGAACACGTGTGTATTCAAACACAACATGTTAAGGCCAGTTGCTGATGAAGAGATGGCATCTGATTGGGGAAAATGCACAGAAAACTCGCCCCATTTGATTCCAGAAATGTCGCCTGCATTTAACCCAGCCTCTCCTCAATGACACAGGCTTTTAAATCCAAATGAAAGCTCACTCACCATTGCACGCCTCTCTCTTCCCATATCTTTCTTTCTTACCTTCCTGGGCTCAAAAGCTAAGTGGGTTGGGCAGAAAAGAGATGGACATTTCAGAAAATAACAGGAAAGGATCAAGGAGCTGGAAGGGTTTTCCTTTTATAATAGAAGGACTCAGGTAAGATGAGCTACAACTTTGGGAAAGGTTATGGCCAAGAGGTGCCATAGTTTGCCAGGCAATCAGAAGAATGTGATAGCGATTTTTATGATAAAGATTCATGCTGCTCCAAACCCAAGCTGTGGACTAGGGAGCATTTCAGGTGTCGAGTGGGTACGGACTCCACTGCAAGAGCAGAGTTGTCCGAATCAGGAGTCCCTAGAGTTGAAACCCTTTGAAAATTCCCACTGGGGTGCTGCAGATCTGGGTGGGGCTCGAGACCCTGCACGGCAAACCAATCCCTGGGTGGGGCCCATGCGGATGTCCCTCTGCGCATGATTTGAGTAGCAAGGGCCTGGCTCTCAGAGGAAGAGAGGAGGAAACCACAGGTCTGGCTGAGGAGCAGGGATTAACATGTAAGGATGGAAGCATGTTCTAAGGTGAGAACGTTGTCGGCAGTGCTGCCTCTAACGCGGCTGCAGAAGCTGAGGTTTGCCATGTGTTACAGTCATAACACAAAGTTTAAAGATCAAAACAGTGTGACAGTCACTTTACTTTGTTTTTATCCCTCTTAACTCAAGGGCAAAGCTTGCCTGAAAACAAAGTGATTTCCTAGCAGGGACCTTCCCTAAGCCTGCCAGTTCTGTCCTGTAGTAATGTAAGAATTTACCTGCTTTATGACGGTCAGAAAAGCCTCCCAGGAGGCCTCGCCTTCAAAACGACACCTTCCAACCTGCCTAGTGTTGGACTCCAAAACGTATTTCTGGGTTAAAAAGATTGAAACTCTTGCACTATATTTGGTCACAATGTTGGCAAAGAGAGTGAGTGAGCCACGCCAATCTTGATAATTAAAAATGACCACAAACTCTCCTTCGGTCAGGACTTTGAGAGTAAAAGTCATTTTATGTATATATAGAGGATTTAGAAACGATATTGACCCTGGTTGTGAAGACTGGAGATATTTTGGGGGAGAAATATATAAAGCCCTACCCTTTTTTAATAGTAAATATTTCTTGCTCTATTTCTCCCTCCCCCAATCTCCCTTCTCTCCTCTTTCTCTCTCCTCCTCCTCTCTCTGTCTTGGTCTCTCTTTCCCCACCCACCCTACTGAATAAGCCTTTGCCCAGCCATTCGGAAGATGTGTTTCTCATATCAAAATTTAACATGGAAAAACGTCCGCAGATTTTCTCTGAACCCTTTGCGTCTCCGCCCGCTGGCCGCGCCTGGTCCTCGGAGGCGTGCCGGCCTCCCACGTGTCTGCGCTTGACTCCTGGCCACCCACGGATCCACCACCTGGGTTCCAGCGTGTCCCCTGACACTTGAGGGCCACTGTGGCTTCAGTCATGGTTCAGAGCGGCCCTGGAAGAATCACCAGTGACACTGTGAAATCACTGCAAAACATCGTGTGGCAGTGTCATGGCATTTTATAATTGAGACCTCCAGCCCTCATAGCTCTATCTAGCCCACAGGAAGGAGGGAAATCTGCGTTTTGATGGTCACAGCAGCTGAAGACACGTGTGCGCGATTGTGCAACTCAGCCATGTAGAAGGTGAGCGGGTGTTCCAGCCCGTGCCTCCATGAAATTGGCGCAAATCATCTGGATTTGGCTTCAGGAAGGTGGTTATGGGGAGCAAGAGTGTGCAAACGAGGGGGTAATGGGCACTCAGTGACCTAACCTATGTCCCAGGGCAGCTCCTGTGTCAGCCAAGGCGCAAATCAAGACGGATGAGCTGATCGCAGCCGGGCGCTGCCTCATTGGGCCCAATTGCATTAAACAGCACATGTTCATAGAGAAAGATGAATCGGGCAGCCAGGTACAGTAGGGGGTGGAAAAGCAGAACCGTGCGGCCGGCAGATCGGCTGGGGCATAGGAAAGCCTTGGCGTGACTGCCTTCTCTGAAATGTGATTTTTAAAGGGAAAGCGGCAAAATCAATCCTGGCCCAACGCTGTTCTCTCAGTGTGAGGAGTGAGAGGCCCACGGTTCAGCATTGTGAGCCTTCACAAGGCCAGGAGGCAGCTAAGTCTTCCCTTAATGGTCATCATTATTTTAGTGAATATTATTCTCACATTTAATTCTTGGCCCCGTCCTTTGCCACAAGGGAGTCATTGGTATAGAGCTGTGTCCACCTACCGTGCATTTAATTACTCTACTTTGGAATAAAAATACCTTCTAGAGCAACTTACATAATAATGTCAGATATTAATAGGCCTCAGGGATCCAGGGCTCCCTCAAGTCCACAGTGTTTTCTGAGGTGATCAGCACCCAGCATCCAGCACCCAGCAGCCAGCCCCAAGCACTCCGCACTCAGCACCCAGCATCCATCACCGAGCCCCAAGCATCCAGCACCCAGGATCCACCACCCAGCATCCAGCACCCAGCATCGCTGGAGAAAAAAATTAAGCTGCTCCTTGCCCAGCAGGGGGCTCCTGACAGCCCAGCTCAGGACTCTTGAGCCTTTGGGTGTAGAATTCACAGCTTCTTTCATTAGAAAGTGGTTGACTCTCCCATAATGTATGCATATATTTTGGGGAAGTTAACTGGACTATCAGCAGTAATTTGGAGCTTTTTATAAGCAAAATCGCTTTTAGCTTTTTCACATAAACTCCCACGGAGTTCATCTGTGGGGCCGTTGACCTCCTCCATACTAGTGCCCCCAGGGCCCGCTGGTCTGGCCTTCTCTTGGTTCCCAGGCAGACAGAAACCCACCGTGCATCCCCAGTACAGAAGGGCAAGTGGTAGGCCTGCTTCTCACAGCAGCGTTTGGAAATTCTCAGGGGTCCCAACCAGGTCATGTGGCATCACATGGGTGCAGGATACGCAGCCCCCGCCTTCTTAAGCCTCATACCTGCAACCTGGGTGAGTGCTCTCTCCACGTCTCTAATGGAAAAGCTGAGTCTTGCATGGACTGGGCAGTGCTGTCCAGAGCGAAGACGGAGAGCCGGGCCCCTCTTGCTCTCAGCCGGTTGGTTTCTGCTGTGAGAGGGGTCAAACCCAGAAGGAGACACGCCCAGCTCCCTTGTGAACACCCAGGCCCACAGTCATGTGTGTACAGCTATGCACGATGCATGCGTGTATGAACATGAACACACACATAGTCACCACAGCAGAAAAGGTTCTTCAGCTGAAAAATCAATCAGCCGTATGTTTCATCACAAGAAAAATGCTCGTGAATGATTGGCTATCGAAGAGAGAAAACGAAGGTTGTAAAGAGCCTGGTTCTTTAAGAGGCACGTTTCATAGTTGCATTCCATTTATTTAAAAAGAGATGAGGACTGTTTCTAATTCTATACTATTCCGTCCCGGATTCCCTGGTCTTTCTAACCCCTGTTCTAAGTTTACAAAAATGCCAAGTGGTGGAATTAGTGAGAACACCAGCACCACAGATCATGGGGAATGGCCATTCCGCCATGCCAGAGAGCCACAAGTCTCATCCAGGACACAGGAGACATGCACCGTCCTCTCCGGAAGGGAAGCCTTGGCAGAGAAGGGGAGGAGCCGGCCTGGGTTCCCTTTCAGTGAGATGCCATCTTTCTGTCTACGCCAGCTAACTCCCTGAAAACCTGCACGCAACGGCGATTTTCACTCTGCACAACGCGGAGCTCAGCAGGCCGCATTCTCTCTTGAACTCAGCTAATTGGCTGTTGATTTTTGTTTTAATGTAGGTCATCCAGTCTTACTTACCTTATAATGAGAAATGAAGAATCCTGAGTAATAAGGGAGACATGCAGCTGAACCCCCTTCTGCTCCTCGAATTCCTCCATGCTAATGGCGCACCTGTGGACGGTGCGTCTGAGAAGGAAGTGGTGACTGAGTAAACGTCTCTGAACGTGACCAGATTAATAAAAACCAGGGTGCTCCGAGGTGGCAGTGAATACTCCTTTCCCAGAATCTTATGAGAAAACTCCATCTAAATAAAACACTTGGCATTGTATTGATATTATAGATGAGCTCATGTGGCCCATGTGCGAAGCTGGGGAATCACGTGTGGCCACGAACCTCTGCCGCTGCTCCAGCTGCACGCTGGGCCACGAGGACGAGGCCCTGAGCCAGACCCGGCCAAGCCGCGTGCAGGAGTGTGACCGTGTCTACATTTGCGTTTCTGCTGTAAGTTCCCTCAGCCATTCCAGGCTCTCTCTGCGCTCCACCTTCCACAGCTGCTGTGGCCTCACTGTCTCCTTAAAACAGAGAAACAGGAGCATGTGGTTGTCCTCCCAGCCCAAGTGTCAGTCTGGGGGCTGCCTCCCACTTCACAAAGAGCCCCAGCCTGGCTGGGTGAGGAAGCCATCGCAGGGCAGCAGCTTCCTCTGTGCCAGGCTGGGCAGAACCCATGCCCCACTTTTGGGCCACACACTAAGCTCAGGGCCCTGTTAGAGGTCCCGGGGTGGAAGTCCGGCCTGCAGCCTGGCTGGGCGGGTGCACATTCTGGACATGTTTTAAATCCCTTCATTAGCCTCATCCTGCCACAGTTTCATCATCCCTAAAATGGGCATAAGGATTTCTAAAACATGAGAATGAAATCACTGAGATTCCATATTCAAATAATTCAGCACAGGCAGGCAGCCCCCAGGAGCAGGTCCTGGCCTCCGTGCTCCTGCACCTCTCCAGCCGGGCGCACACTCCCTCTGTGAAGTCGCGGAGCCCCTGTCTGTGCCTTTGCTGGTAGTGGTGGTTCCCCATCCGAAGACCCTTTCCTCCTCCCCTAAACCCAGACATCCTCCCGCGGGGGTAGCCACACTCTTCTTTTAGTTTCTTTGCCCTCTAGCTTTCCAGGCCATGCCTCACAATTAATTCCTCCCAATCAAACCTGCCCACACTGTCACCTAAGACTGTTAACCTCCCATCTTGGTAGAACAGACCAGGATTCGACTTACAGCGTGCATTTACTAAAAATTTTCTCTACTTTAAAAGCCCAGGCTTCAGTGTAGACAGGGTGGGTCCTAGAAAGCCTTTTGGGTTATACAGGGGTCCCCTCATGCTCCCTACATTTCATTTTTAACACCCTGGAGCATTAAGTACTTATCAGTAGCTAACAGCTCATCAGGAACTGGTTCATCAGATCCCCTTTTTGTCAGCACTGACAGGGGCTCCTTTGAGGTCTCAGGAAAGTCCCCTCCTGGGGGACAGGGACCTGAATCCCCAGGCTTGCAGCTTCCAAGGTGGAAGTCGCCAGTGATACGTGACACACACTTATTGAATGAATGAATGAAAGATGACCAAATGAATGACTCGATCTTGCATGCAGTGAAAGAAAAAGATGAGAGCCTGTGTTTCCATCCTAGAAAGGATCCAGAGGATGATGAAAATTTCTCTGTTTACCCTTCAGTTGTCATATACAGATCGCTTTGGGGGCATCAGTTCCATCACTTTCCAAATGACAGGACGGGCCTGAAGCCCTCTCCCACCTGAGAGACTCCGACTTCGAGGCTCCAGAGCGGAAGCACCCCAGGGGCTTCAGCCGGGGCGTGACCACTCGCAGCCTCACGTGAACTCCTCTTGGTGGGCGCAGTGCCTTTCCGGCCTTCTGAAAAGAGGAAGGTGTGGGGTGTGCAGCGTGGGGCCACGGAGGCCACGGAAGGCAGAAGCGGGGGTGAGATGTTTGTGTTTCCAGGCCGGAGCTGTTACGGACACCCGAAAGAAATGGCCTTAGAAGGCACTGGCTCAGTAAGTCTCTATTTTACACAGGAAAGGAAGAGGTGGGAAAACAGAAGGAAAACCATAAAGACTGAACATTCGAACTGTGTGTGATGGAGAAAGCCTCCTTCCTGTACAAAGGCACCCTGCAGAAGCGTTCAGGGCAGCCTTCCTATCTTTCCTTGCTTTTGACTCTTGCCTGTGTAGCTGGCAAAGGCACAAAATCAATGCCCAATGATGTGCACGCCGTCAGGGCATGTGGCACTTTGGACACAATTATTTCTAATTTCTTAATGTGTTTCAAAATCCCTAAAACAAAAAAAAATTTCATCATCCTTGATACCATGAATTCTAATACTTCCCTTAACTGGATGCCATGTATCCCATCTCTCTCCTCCTGTGGCTACCTTTCTCAAAAAATTAAAATAAGGCCAGGTGCAGTGGCCAATGCCTGCAATCCCAGCACTTTAGGAAGCTGAGGCAGGTGGATCACTTGAGGTCAGGTGTTCGAGACCAGCCTGGGCAACATGGTGAAATACTGTTTCTACTAAAAATACAAAATTAGCCAGGTGTGATGGTATACACCTCTAATCCCAGCTACACAAGAGGCTGAGGCAGGAGAATCACTTGAACCCGGGAGGCAGAGGTTGTGGTGAGCTGAGATTGCGCCATTGCCCTCTAGCCTGGGTGACAGAACGAGACTCTGTCTCCAAAAAACAAACAAACAAAAAAAAGATGATGAACTTTTTCATCATCTTTTTTTCTCAAAAAGAGAAAAATTAAAGCGAAAGGACCAATCTGTCAATAGAAAGGAAGATTCTGGTGGAAGGCGCATAGTAGATTTCCTGCAAGAGAACAGGGCGCAGAGTAGGTGCTGGTCCCTAAGGTGGGTGCTTTCATTCCAGGCTCACATCTGCGGAGATGCAGGAAGGAAAGGGAGCTGGAGCTGAGGGGCGCGTCCAGCCCCACTCCGGGCATTTCCGTCCTGCAGGAGCACGGAGGCTGAACCAAGAGAAGCTGAGTGTTGAGAGAGACCCCGGCTGGGGAAGGGCAGAGAGCCAAGGCCAGGGGCCTTCCCACTCATCCTCCTGCGTGACGTGGGGCAGGGGGAGCTGATGCCAAGGTGGGCCTCAGGGAAAGTTGCTTTCCACTCTTGAGCATCGTCTCTGCTGTGCTCAGTCCAAACTTCATTCCAAGCAGCTAATTACAAACATGAAAATGAACCTTAATAGAGCACATGGGCAAATATTCCATGCAGTCTGTAAGCAGAGTTCCATTCAAATAAACAAGACCGTCTCTAGCAGGGAAGCTGCCTTCAAGAAATGCGTGGCAGGCAGCTCTAGGCCCACCGGCGCACCACCTGTTTGCCTGGCAAGGCGCCCCCGCACTGGGTGCTGGCCTCGGGCAGAGCCACCAGGGCACAGGGTGGAGCGGGACAGACTCCTCGACAAGGCAGGGTCCTCGGGGATCCCTCACACGCGGGGATGCCAAATGCCCACGGAGCCGATTCCTCCTTGAGGGTGGTCCGTTACGGAATCATGTCAACATTAAGGTTGAGTTTCTGAGTTTGCTTTTTCCTTTAAATGTCCTTTGGACCTTCCACCTTTCCTCTAAAGGACCTCTTCCACCTTGGGCGTGTGTGAAGTCTGGAGTCAGAAGACGCGTTTCCCTTTTGCAGAAAGCACAAAAAATAAATGCTATAGAAAACGTGGTCTTCTCGATTGTTTAATCAGAGGGATTGTATTTATCTTGTTGACTTTCGTAGAAGCGTTAGGATTCTGAACTGAGGTATGACGTCATGTATAAGAAGAGGAAGCAAAACTGTAAAAAGACGTGTCTCCACACAAGGTGGCTTAGACCCACACATTTCTTCAGAGTTGAAAGATAGGTGTTTGAACCACCGAAGAAATGTGTGGGTCTAAGCCAGAGTTCTCACCCGTTGATCCTGTTTCTCAACCGTGAGGGATACCCAGGATGTGTGTCCCATGGGAGTTTCAGCGTGCAGAAAATAAAAACCCAAACCAAGGCAAACAAACACAAAGCACACAGCGTTTCAGATTCCCAGCAAGGATGCACTGGCTAACGGTCTGTAAAGAGGTGCCCTGTGATCAGGCCTCAGGCACCTCCACACTTCCGGGCCCCCGGAACCTGCCTGCCTCCTACTCCCTCCCAGGTTCTGGCAAGTGTCTGTCCCCTTTGCAGCTTGGATACTTTCAAAAGCCCTTCTTCTCTATGAGCAGCGTGCATAGAGCGTGCGTCACTCAGGGGTGGCAGGTAACATTCATGGAAAGAGTACAGCAATGAGCGATGGCTTTGATGAGAACTCAGTACTTGCTAAGGCAGGAAACGCTAACAGCCGGGGACTCAGGGAGCAGCAACGCGTGCTTAAGGTGTGTGGAAAGCATCGTGTGGCAAAGCGCGTGTGGCTGTGTGCTCCCGCGTGTGTGGGAGACAGCTCTGTACTTCCAAGGGAAAGTAGGTGTGTCAGAGTCATGTAGGCTTTTTAAATCTAAAACATTATGTTTTTGAAAATCATTATAGGAGGGCAGCCTACCTCCTTTTGTTCCTAAGAAAATTTCAAAGTCACATTTAGAGAGGAAAAAAAGGAATTACTCTATGATTGTAAAATTCTTGCAAGACTATATTAAGTTTCTTGAATTATCTTCTTGCAGAGTTTGGATTCAACTTAGCCAAGAAAAAAAGCGCGCTTAGCTGCTGGCCTAAGCGCGGAGCACGATGCGGAAAGAATGAACCTGAAAGGACGTCTGATCGCTCTAATATCTCTTTACGTCATCTGTTAAACGGTGCTCAGTCTATAGGGGCAACCGAGATTTAATTACAAACTACATAAAATCATCTAACCTTGCACACGTGTTTAAGCAGCAGTGTTGCAATATTTACAGGACAACGCAACACACAAACCTGGAAGACCGAGGCATGGTCAAAGGACAGGTTTCAGTTGGATTTGAACCACTGTAGGGCATGCAGAATTAGACAATGATAGTTTTACAAACAGAACATAAAAGAGTAGGGTGTGGCCTCAGCACACCAGCCTGAGTTTCAAAGCTCCCATCTGTGCAGGGGAGATGCTGTCAGCTGCCATGCTGGTTTGCCTCACCCTTGAGATGCTGGCTCGCCAAGCCCCTGCCATGTGGTGGGCTTAGACACGCTGGGTCTCTAGCTGAAAAATCATTCACAGGAGCTTCAGTATGGGGCTTCCCAGCTGGTAGGGAGAGACAGTGTGAACGAGTACATATACCAGACACTGACACGGGCCTGGCTGTGCCAAGCGCTCTGGTG